TAATTCCCAGTATCCCATCCAGCCCTGCCCTCTGGCAGTGGGAGCCATTCCCTGTGTCCTGTCCCTCCATCCCTTGTCCAAAGCCCCTGTCACGGTCACACAGAGGTAAGTGCTCATTTCCAGCCCATGGCACCGTGTCCCTGCTGTCCTGGCAGCCAGCAGGGAGCTCTTTGCAAGGCTGCCCCAGCTCTGGAGCAAACAAGGTCTGGCCCTGGGTACCTCAGCCAGCCCCAGCCCTGCCCGTGGCACTGCAGTGACACCTTGGTGACACTGGGCTGGGACAGTGCCACCTCCGCTGGCCCCATGGATGAGGACAGGGATGGGGCAGCCCCATCTGCCCCATGCCCAGCTGCCCTCCCTCTCCCACTCCCACAGATCCTGGAGATGCTTTGTTCCTTTTTAAAGCTCATTAATTTTGCTGCAGCCGTTATCATTAATATTTCTCGCTCTGGGAGATTTGCGTGCTGCTTTTGCCTCTGTTTTACTGCTGGTTATTTTTTGCCATGCTTGGGTTTGGCTGGGCTATTTTTTCAGCCACTGCTGTTGTTGGTTTTGCCCAGTTTTTGCTGAGTTTTGTTGCCCTGTGTGGAACCTGGAGCGCTGCAGCCCCAGCCCCAGCAGAACCAATGACATCCCCATCACATTGCTGTTTATTATTTATTTCCCCAGCAACGGGGATATATTTAGCCCGAGAGCTTTGAGCTGTTTCAGCCCCATTCTGCTCAGCAGACCCAGCAGTGAGCAGTGGCCGAGGGGCAGCAGGAGCCCCCTGGGACCCCAGCAGGGACCCCCAACCTGTCCTTGCCCTGGGCAGGGGCTGCAGGAGGGGAGGCTGTGAGAGCCACGTCCCTCCAAGGGTTCCCTTGGACTCGCCAAGGCTTGGGCTGGGCTGGGTGGATTTTTAAAAATTATTTTTAGTAATTGCTGTGTTTGAGGCTGGCAGGCCAGCGCTGTGTTTGTTTGGGGTAGGAACACGTGCAGCTTGGCTGCAGCCAGCTGGAGGAACTCTGCCTGCGAGCCAAAAAGGGTAAAAAGGAAAAGGCCAGGAGAGAAATGAGGAATTAAAAATGCTGGGTTTTAATTCTGGATTTGTTCTTGCAGGAGCCCAGATAGGCGTGTGCTGGGACCAGGGCAGGAGCCCAGGATGGCAGGACAGCCCCCCCTGCCCCATGTCACTGCCTGTCCCCCTCTGTGCTGGGGTCAAGGCTCAGGAGCCCAGGGTGACAGGATGGCATGGGACAGACCCGTGTCACTGCCTGTCCCCCTCTGTGTCCCCTCTCAGCTCCTCAGGGATGCAGCTCCCCCTGCCCAGTCCCTGGAGATTATTTCCCCTCCATGCTCTGCTCCTTGGGCACACCAGGTCACCTTTCTCAGCAGGAAGTGTCACCCCATCTCCTGCATCAGGAGCACAATTAGTGCCCGCATCTGATGCTGCCTCAGCAGTTTTGCCCCAACCTTTTAATGTGGTTTGATCTCAAATCAACAGATCCCTTAATTAGAAGTATTCCACTTGTTATTTTTTTAACCTAAGGTTCCCTGTTGTGACCTCAGAGAATATCCTTCATTATGCCCTGGAGCTGTGCCAGGCCTGTGATGGATTGGATAAGGCAATTTAGTGCCACCCCCCTCCTCCAGGCTGGATTTTATCAGCTGACCCAGGGGCTCAGGCACTGGACATCAGCACACTCCCTTCTGATGGTTCCTCTCTCTGCTGCTCCTCCAGCCAGACTTTGACAAGTTCAATATTTACACTTCATTTTGAAGTGTCCATGTACTATCTATAATATATAGTGTATTTTCAGGTTCACCAATAATTGAAGTTATCAGTGACCCTGGTGAGGAAATGCACCAAACTTGCTGGGCCCTGGCAGGAGCTTGGCAGGAGCACTGAGAGCATCTGGGAGCCCCTTTGGGATAAGCAGTACCGTACAGCCAAGGAGTCTTTTATTCTGTAAAACCCCAGAATTTGTGCCTGACACAGACCAGCTCTATGTGCCCAGAGCTCAACACGAGCTCACGCTGCAGAGGGGACACAGCCAGGACAAACCAGCCCCCTGGGGACCATCCCGGGGGCAAACACCAACTCAAAACTCAAATCTCAAATGTCAGAGCTGTAAAAATGGCATTTAATGGCATCTTCTCCTAACCAGTCTGAAATGCCATCATTTGACTGGGATAATGTGAACACAGCAGACATCACGAATTGCAATCACATGCTGGGCTTCACCCGAATTCTTGGAAGCTGAGGATGGAGCCCAAGACAGCAAACAACAGCAGAACAAGGTGGCAGGTGAGGGAGGGCAGCAGCCCTGTCCCAGCCCACCCCAGGGCCATGGAGCACGGCAGGGTGCAGAGGGAAGGGGCAGAAATCCCACAGATCCTTCTGCTACCAATGTTTTTGTAAATGGAATGGGACAAAGGGGATTTTGGGTGGAATGTGACCACACTGAGGACTTGATGCACTTACCATGGAGCCCGTCAGGCACTGAGCAGTTCTTTATCTGAGTGTCTGATGGCTCCCTTAAAGCATCTTTCCATAATTGTGGCCCAAATAAACGTGGTTATGGTAAATCCCATCCTTGCCTTGCCTCTGACCCCCATCCGCAGCCATCCAGCTTGGGAATTACCGAAGGGAAATTTATGTAAGCTTTGTTTTAATTGCAAACAATTCAAAGAAATCGTTCCCTGCTGGGAACTCGGCCTTTTCTGCTGCAGTTAAATGAGATTTTATTACAGCAGGCCTGGCTCTGTGGCTCGGGGGGAAGGCTGAGCTGTGCTGGGGGAAAACCGCGGCGGTTTGAGGGGCTGGAAACGTCGGAAACTCCAACAGGGCAGGGAAGGAGCTCCATGGCAGCATCTTCTGCTCCAGGGCTGAGACCTTCTGAGCCCGAGGGCAGCATCCTCCCAGCCAGGGAGGCTCCTTTCAGCCCTGCTGATTTACCAAGTCCTCTTCCCTTTTTCCTGGGCTCGGTTCTGTCTCTGCACAGGAGCCCAGGGCAGCTCAGCCCCCACCACCCGTCCCCTGCCCGCACCTGGGGAGCCCCGAGGCTTTTCAGTGCATTTTATTTCCCCCTATCACTGATGTTTGGCAGCTGCACCTGCCTTGGGAGGGAGCTTTTATCACATCCTGATGAGTATCAGACAGTTGGGAACCACCGCTGTGACAAAATACATTCAAAATCACAGAATTGAAGAGGCATTGAGGTTGGAAGGGACCATAAACTCATAGAGTTCCTCTCCTGCCATGTCAGACCCAACCCTCTCCAAGACCACAACAAAAACTCCACAAAAGCATTTTGGAGCCATTTAATGAAAAAAGCAGAATTTTATTATATGGTTTCTGTCCATTATTCGGCATTGCTGTAAATGGCTCACATTTACTGCAACTTCTGTACAGATGTGTGGCTTTGTATTACCAGAACAGCAAATTTAAATGAAAAAATAAATGTTCAACAATTCCACACAAGCTTTTACAGTCCAACATTTCACTGAGTAGGTGAAAACTACAGACTTGTTACTACAGAATTATTCAGCATGAATAAAAAACTACAACTTTTATTTTTAAACAGGAGTCACTGGTTTAATTTTTTTTTTAATGCTGTTTAAAATTGCTGTGATAAAAATAATGATTTTTTTAATAATGCCATACACTGGTATGATATAGGATTTGTCCCCAGTATATATCTTTTTGTTTAATATACAAAATAGAGTAATGACCCATCGCTGCCTCTGCTGTGGGCAGGGGGTTGGAGGTGGGGTGTTCCCACACTCTCCCAGCCTTCCCTCGGACACGAGGCCTCTGGAGAGGCCTCGACCTTCACGGAAAATTTGGTTCCTATGAGACATCGATGGCTCAGCAAGCCCTGGCTGCAGACTGGGATGGGGCAGAGCAAGCCTGGTCTGTGACCATGAATCCCAGCCTGGACCGGGTCGGAAGGGACCCTAAAGCTCCTCGATCCCCCCTGCCACGGGCAGGGACCCCTTCCACCAGACCAGGCTGCTCCAAGCCCCGTCCAGGCAGGCCTCGAACACTTGCAGGGATATAATAATACAATCTTTATAAAACCTCACTCTAAGTCATGTCCCTGAATCCTCCCTCTCTGGAGTTTGGCCGCGGGATGTTTCCCACAGCCCGTGTTCATCCAGGCACTTCCTCCTTCCCTACCTTTTCCTGTGGAAATGGCGAGGTCATTTTTCATTTTTCAGCATCGATTGGCACCGGTCCCCAGCCCCCCCACCCCCCCGTGTCCCTGTCCCCGTCCCGGTGTCCCCCTAAGGCCATTGCGAGTCCTGAGCTGCCCCCGCCTGCGGGCGGATCCGTGCACTTTGTGATAAGGCACTGAAGGGCCAAGGCCGAGTTCTCCCTGCTTTATCCAGAGTGCAGGGACTCCCCACTGCTACACGGACCACGGATAACAGGACACGGACTTCTCACTGCTGGCTACAGCACTACGGAGTCTCACTGGTGAAGTTTAAACTGAACAGCACGTACAGGACGATTCTTCCTCCAACATCAGAGCTCCCTCTGATTCTCCTTAAATCCAGAGACTAAAAATGAATATACAGGCAAACAGACACAAGGGGCAGAGAGCCTCTCCTCCTACGTGACCGGTTCTCTCACGGGGGGATCGCAGAACCCCAGAATTTGGGTTGGAAGGGATCTTAAAGCTCATCCAGTTCCAACCCCCGACTCCACCACCTGCTGGAGTTCACTGCAGTTGCTTTTGCTGGCAAAAATGACAATTTGGGGTCCCTGCACCCCGACCCGCACACGCTGTCCCCAGGCTCTGACCGAGGGCTCTGGGGATGAAAGTTTATAAAACATTCTCCAAAGAAAGAGCAGGTTTCCCCTCCCCACGACCCCCCAGCCCCACCAGTACAAACTCCTATCTGTATCGCAAACGGGCGCGGGACGATTCCCAACGACTTGGGCTGGAGGTTGTAATTAAAATCCTGACCTTTACCTATTACAAAATGTACATATTCCTTACAGATCAAAGAAGAGAGTGATTATTTTCTTTTATTAAAGATGCTATTTTACTCCAAAGTACTGAATATAGGATCTTTTTTAATAGGTATAACATTCAAAAAGAGCTTTAAGAAAGGATGAGAATTGAGTTTCCTATTTCAGTTGGAAACCAAGGTCTGCTCAATGTAGAAATGTGTTGTGAACACCCCACGCTCTGTATTTACATATTGCTGGCACCTGGATGTGGATTATTGCCCAATTTCTAAGCTGTTTTTGCTGTCAGAGCTGTGACAGTTTTTGCAGCGGGGTCTGGTTCAGCCGTGCCTCGGGAGCGGCTCCCGACCATACAGATAGGAGTATCCCCCCCACACCAATGGGAATTGTACACAGTGATTCCATGGACACAACCCAACCCTACAAACACCCAGGGGCACAGGTTTCCCCTCTGAACAGAGCACTTCTTTGGATACCAGCACCGACAGCCCCGGTGCTGCCTCCGGCCAAACCACGCGCGACGGTTTCCACTCAGCATATCTGTGACCCCTACAAAAAATATAATTACATGTATCATGATAAAGCAATCTGTCATCTAAAAATCATCCTTATTATACACTATACAAGCTATTTTACAATCATTTAATAAATTGCTTTTAAAGCTGCAGTAGCCCTTCCCTTTTTTTCTTGGATCAGCGAATATACCGATTATACATATTTGAAACTATAACTAAATATAAAAATATATTAGGTTTTGTATTTTCTCAGACGATCTTTCTCATTTCTATTACACAAACGATCTGGCCACTTCGAGTAAAAATCAAATTTTAGAGTGGCATAGTAAATATTTCAGTTTTGAGATACAGAAAATTGTTAAGGTGCACGTAGAAAAGGCTACTACAGCTTCTAAATGTCGAAAATATCCTCATCAATGGCAACAAGGAGAAATCCACAAGGCCTATGGGAATTTATGGCACGCCAGGAATTCAATGTGAAGGGCTGCAGCGTTACAAAGACAGAAAGTTTGACGGACAACTCTAAGACCACGAACTCAGTAGCGGAGCTCTCCTGCTCTCCAGGAAAGAGGATGGAGCAGTCAGTGAAGGGTGGAGATGTGGAACTGGGTCTCTAACCAGGTGAGTTCGGAGCTGGGAGATCCATCCCAGCTGCGTGGACGAGTCCCCGGAGAGGAGGATCCCGGGATCCTACAGGAGAGCAGCCCCAGCCGCTGGGCGCACTCGCGCGTCCTCCCCTGTCCCTGGGGTCTCCAGAAACTCTTGTGTGATGGCAGCTTTAAGTGTATAGAAAACGGAGTTTCTCCACACAGAAGTAAACTTTTCTGAAGCTATGCATATTTTCCTGAAAATTTCCTGATGGGCAGTCAGGACTGATCTTCTTGGCATCAATGCAGCCCGTGACTCTTTGCGTTATGGCTGTTGCATCATATGCAAAAATCAGGCTTCGTTTTTTTTTTCAATATATAAAATAACCTGCTCATTTACATCCAGTTAGGACTGGGTTAATTTTCTATGAATCTGCATATCCAATGCTTTTGCAATGTACCAAAAGGATTTGTTTCATCTGGATCTACTGAAATGAGATTTGAGAGTGTTCTCCCACCCACCCGGGCCCTTAGAAAAAACCCAATTTTTATGGCCACTTTGCCAGTTGAAAGCATTAGGTTAGAAAAGCCCAACCCAGTTTCACATGAATCTACTTGAGTATTTACTGTCTAGAGGTCATTTAGGAAAGCTACGAGCTGCCCCACCTTAAAAAACCAGCTGTACAATAGGCATCTTGAAGTATTACAAAAAAATTATGTAAGAAAAAATGAACAAGCCGAGTTCACGGTATATAAAGTTAAAGGAAATTGCTAAAACCAGACAGTAATAGCTATAAAAGGCACAACTTCCCTTTTCTGATATACACTTGTAAACTTTCTTCAGGTTACATGCATAAACCAAAATACTACCTTAACTTTAAAAAAAAAAATCCAAAACACTTTACTAAAATAAAAAAAAAAAAGCCTAAAAAATTGTCTCCAGCCAACTGCAGCAATTAATTAATTAATTAGCAGAATGTTCGTAACAGCCTCAGAGCTTGTCACTGGTGGTTTGATGCATCCAGGGATGGTGCACGAGGGGAGAGAGAAAATTTCTGCCAAAACCACGATTTCTTTTCCTTTCCTTTCTCCCCAATCCTTTCCCCAACACGAGAAATCCGCTGCTTCTCCAGCCTAACTCTTGGCCCTCTGTAAACCACATGTAGTGCATAATTACAAAAGAAACACCTGCGAGGACAAAAGGAACAAGTTCTGTAGGTTTTCTCTTTACAAAACAAAGCTATCGTGTGACGGTTTCTTAAGGCAACCCTTTGTGTTAAGGCAGTCACTTCTGATGAAACAAGAGCTTCTTGATATTTCCATTGGAATATTTTGGTATCTGATTGCTGATGATTTCTGCCAACATTTCTGGGAACTCAATACTCATGGATTTATCCAAAAATGTCTGGAAGCAAAAGCTCAGAAGATTTTCAACCACCTACGAGTGACAAGACAAAGAATTACTTGCAGATGAAGACGCTCAGAGAACATCCACCTCCCTCCTCCCCAGCTCCTGCCCACAGGATGGGGCTCAGGCAAGACGTGCACAGGAATCCTCATTTAGTTCATTAATTATTGTCTGTGGCACTCTGATATAAACCAACCAAACAGACTGTGCAAGGCTCGACAAACGCTGAGGAGATTCGGTACCAATTCCCATTCCAGCAGATAAATAACACACACATGGATAAGCTAAATGAGATCTTTCCAGGTGCTTGGTACAGTTACAAGAAAAAAACAGTAATTCTGAGGTCTCAAAGTTACCCTTGTCTTAAACACTGCTTTGTGCTACATGTGTAATTAGAATTAAACTGCCAAAGGAGACGGTCTGAATTGGAAATTCCTTCAAAATTAGATCATTGCTAACACCACACACACTGCTGAAGCATTGTTCTAATAGAATTTCAAACTATTCCATAAACTCTTAACTTCTTGGGCTCTGAGGTAAGACTGTTTTTAAATGCCACATTTCTGCTTCTACTGCAAAGTCAGTTACAGCTCCTGAGCTCCTCCTTTTTAAAGCAATGTAATTTAAAAAAATGGCAGAGACTGAAAATGAGATTAATTATACAATTAATTGCTGTGGATTGCACTGCAGAGGCAGCCTGAGAGGACCACGTTCAAGGCTCTCAATCTGCCTTTCGTGAGACAGCAGAGGAGCATGACCTCCTCCTCCTCCTCCTCCTCCTCCTCCTCCTCCTCCTCCTCCTCCTCCTCCCCGATATTCGTCCCTTTAAATACAAAGAGCTGGAGGAGCTCGCTGTCCCCGCCCCAAACGTATTTCTCTGGAATGCCTGCAGCATTCCTGTCAGGACTTACATCATGCATAGAGTCCAGCAGTTTAGTCAGTTGATAAAATCGCTGCCAGTTCTGGCTGGAGTTCCCTTCCCTCTTGACGATGGCCTTGCCCAGCTCCTTGATGTACGTCATGCGGATCTCCTCAAACAGGGACTGGCTCTTCAGGCCCTCCTTGGGAACTGCAACATGGACACCCACCTTTACAACACTGCCAGACTCAACTGGGACATGGTTTAAGCTCTCTTACATTAGTTACACAGAGAGGGAACTGTCATCAGGAGCTGGAGTGACAGGACAAGGAGCAAGAGGGGAAATTTAGGGTAAAATAGGGATTTCTTCCCTGTGAGGGTGGGCACAGGGTGCCCAGAGAAGCTGTGGCTGCCCCTGGATCCCTGGAAGTGTTTAAGGCCAGTATGGAATAAGATGAGCTTTAAGGTCACTTCCAACCCAAACTATTTTGTGATTCTATAAAAATGAGCAAAAGGAAAAGGACTTGGACTGACTGAAATGACAGCAGAGAGACAAGGAGAGAGCAGGATGGGACAGTGACCAGCTGAACACAAAGCACAGGCCTGCTGCAAAATAGAAAATAACCTCCAGAGGTATACCACCCAAAAACAGCAGGAGGGGAACTGGACCTTGGAGGCAGCAACAGCCAGCCCTGGAAGCACCTGATGGAGAAGCACCAGGGCTGGAGCTGCTGTGCTCTCCAGCCCTGGGGAAATGTGACATTAGGAAGGTTCCTTAAAAATTCTGCGTGCCCAGGGAAGAGCAAGGGCAGGATCACAGGATGGCTTGGCTTGGAAAGGATCTTGAAAGATCATCTGGTTCTGAGCCTCCTGACATGGATCAAGTAACAGGGCAAGGCAGTGACAGACTGGACAACAAACACTGCACCAGCCATGGGAAACTGGGCATGGCCACAGCTGGTTTGGGACAGGGCTGGGCAGGTGAGGAGCTGGGACAGAAACCCAGAGCCTGGGGATTCCAGCCCAGGTGGAGTCCCTGTGTCGATCTCCTCCTGTGGGGATGGTCCTACCACAGGCCAAGGACCAACCCAGGCAAATGGAGCACGGGGACTCCAGAGGTCCCTAAGGTGCTGCCCTTGAGGCCTCTGATCATCTCGGGGAAGTGAAAGAGTTGAAGACAGAGAAGAGCTGAGACAAAGGTGACCAAAAGCAGGACAGCAGGACAGAGGCTACAGAGCACATTCCCTTCCTTAGGAAATCCAACCTTCCCTGCACTGTCAGCATCTGAGAGATTCTGGAATAAAGTCTCTTGTCTGTCTTGCCTACACAGGAGATGAAGCCTGTCAACTGTTTCAATATTTCACATGGAAAAGGTCTCTGAGCTACGTCTGTGTGTGAGCTGCAAGTCTAGACCTGTGTGGGATTCCTGTTTTACTCCTCCTCCTCTCCTCTTGGAAAACTCAACACAGAAACACAATAAACAAATTCAAATTGTCAAGCCGTGGACTAAAGGGCTATAGAAATTTCAGCTATTCAATTGCAGAAGCTCCCTGATGTACCACTGACAAAATGTATGTACTTGGCAAAATGAAGATAAATTGTCTCCCACTGGAAATGGAGTGGAGAGGCCTCTGGGCAGTGCCAGCCCCTGCCCTGCTGCTGGGGGGGCTGAGTCCTGCCAGTGCTGCCTCCTCACCACTTCTGCCATGGAAATTTCTCCGTGGAAATTTCCAGCTCCTGGGAGGAAAGCTGGCCTACACCACACCCGAAACACTTGAGGAATTTTCGGGAGAGATTTCAGAATCAAACAGGAACTGTTTGAAATCTGCAGCTTCAGGGAAGTTTTAAGTTCCTACAAAGCCCACGGCCATGAGAGGCTGAAAGTTTCCTCTGAAAAGAGCCCTTGTGCAGCTCTGGGCTTGGCAGCGAGGCAGGGCTGGGCACTGCCAGGCTGGTGGGGCACTGGCCATGGCACCCTCACACTGCCCACACCCACCAGCCCCTGCCCTGACATGGGAGCAGTGCTGGGGCTCCCAATCCTCCTGCTCCTACCCAGAAAAAAAACCAAGGTGAACAAAACCTCCTTTCTCTATGAGAACCAATGCTATTATTCACTGGAAACATTCAAGATAAGGAATGTTTACACCTTCAGTGTAATAAACTAAATAATATTTACTTTTCATCACATTTCAGGTCCCTTCCAAGCCAAGGCACCTGATGAGGATGATGCACAAGTATCAAAGTCTGTTGACAAATCTTCACTTGCTCTGCTGCTACCTTTCAAAGCTGTTGGCACCTCTGTCACTGCTCTGAAGCAAAGCCCTCGTGCCAGGCAGGAGCAGGAACACATCAGTGCCTGCCTGAGCAGCTCCCTGGGGATCCTGTGAGTGTGGGATGGGATGGGATGGGATGGGATGGGATGGGATGGGATGGGATGGGATGGGATGGGATGGGATGGGATGGGATGGGATGGGATGGGGTGGGATAGGATGGGATGGGATGGGATGGATGGGATGGGATGGGATGGGATGGGGTGGGATGGGGTGGGGTGGGATGGGATGGGATGGGATGGGATGGGATGGGATGGATGGGATGGGATGGGATGGATGGGATGGATGGGATGGGATGGGGTGGGATGGGATGGGATGGGATGGGATGGATGGGATGGGATGGGGTGGGATGGGATGGGATGGGATGGGATGGGATGGGATGGGATGGGATGGGATGGGATGGGATGGGATGGGATGAGGTGGGGTGGGGTGAGGTGGGATGGGATTTCCCAGGACACAGAGGCTGTGCTGGAGTGAGGTGCCCAGCTCACAGCCACCCCAGCACACTCACACACACTCACACACACTCACAGCCACCCCAGCACACTCACACACACTCACACACACTCACACCCACCCCAGCACACTCACACACACTCACACACTCTTTTTCTCTCTCTCTCTTTGCCCTGTGAGTCCCTGCATTGCAGCTGAGCCTGGGCTGAGCTCAGACCCTCAGGGACCTCCAGCCCCACAGGGCAGGGGAGAACAAAGTCATTGGCTACCACTGATATCAACAGAGGGGAAAACAACACTGTGAAAGGTATTTACACATTTACACTTGTATTAGGTTAGTTTATTTCTGTATATTGTAAAAACATTATTTTTGCCACTGCCCTTTGAACTTCCATGCAGCACAGACAGAATTTACTAAGCTGTGACTTGTTTAACTCCAGCATATCCTACCTAAAGATAAAACCAGCATGTAGCATACTGTACAGATCTATCTCACAATACCTACTGCAAATCCACCACACACTTGTGAAGAAGCAAAAAGCTTGGTATTGAGCTGTTCACCTACTTGTAGAGAGGAGAAGCAAGGTCTTCATGCAGAGATACTCCTCGTAGGAGACCTGGAGGCGGGACAGCTCTCGGGCCACCATGAGCATGTGTTTGCATTGTTCATACATACATGGGAGATTCATCCTCTGCCTGAGGAATAAGAGCACAGGAATTAGTGCCATGTCTGGCTATCTGCACGCTCTGGTCTGGTTTTCCACGCTGCAGATGAGGAGCTGTGAGTGAGCCAGGCACAGCAAAGGAGGCTCCGTTCCCAGCGTGTCCCTGCGGCTCTGCCTTGGTGGCACAGATCAATGCTGGCCCGAGGGCAGGAGGAGCCCTGTGGCACCCTGAGTAGCAGGGCCTTTACAAAGGGAGCCTGTCTGCACAGGGACTCAGCAGCAAGCTCTGCTCTCAGCAGCCCCAGCACCAATGTGACACAGACACCAAGCTCAGCCTGAGCTCCCTGAGCCCGGCGGTCCCAGAGTCTCTCATGTTCCCAGGGAAACACGATGGAGTGCCACACTAGAGATGGGATTTCTCTAATTCTTTCAGTGCCTTTGAAATGTGCACCTAATTTAATGCATGTTTATGCATTTAGGAGTGTCTTCCTGTAACTCCTCAGTTTTCAAAGTGACTTTATCCTTGTGCCCATCTGTGTTCCTGAAGCAGTGACCAGCAATGCAATTAAACTTCATTATCTCTGTACTGTAATAAACTTGTTTCTAACCATAAATGGAAAATCATGTTGACAAGCAAAGGCAAATCTTGGAATCAGAATAACAAACATTATGTTTTTGTATATTTTTTTTCCGATTTCAATGAAGCCTTGCATCAAGACAGGAACTGCTTTTATCTAATACCTCATCTGACACAGCAATCTTGCTTATCTGTGCTCTTACAGCTGGTTACTGTGAATATTGCAGAATTAGTTTTGAGTGGGAAATGAAGAACAGACTAATTCTGAACAGTGTAAGACAGATTTATGATTTTCCATGGGTTTTTGTAGAGAAAAGAAAAGCAAAATAACTCCATGCAATGAGTACACAATCTCTCTGCAGTGATGCCAGCACCTCATTTTTTGTTAATAACATGTCACATTTCCTTGGTATCACCTATACAGCATTATAATCTACACAGAGACAAAATGGGATCGCTGTGGGAGTTACGAGTAAGATTTGGTTATGAAACAATAATTCCTCCAAAGTTTTCCATTCTCTCTCCTAGACCTTCAGAAGGATTATACAATGTTCCCTCACAATCACTCTGGGAAACCCTGAGTGGAAACAGGGTTTGCCCATTCTCAAGGTGCAAAAAGCAGGAGGAATCCTGATGGCTTTTGAAAGAAACACAAACTACTGAAACTGCATGAAAGCAGACTAAGCAGTAGGGTAAAACCCCAGCATTCCCAAATGCAGCTGTTGGACAATTCCTTCCACACAGAACTGGGCCACGTGTGGCACTGCCCCAGCCCTGCAGCTGTGGGCACTGAGAGCAGCCCAGACACCCCTTGCTCCACCAGCAAGGAGCAGCAGGGCACACGAGGTGATGCTGCATGACACAGGAGCCAGGCCCTGCTGGGCTCTGGGATGCTTCTCAGGGCACTTGGCACAGAGCCACCCCTTGGCCAGGTGGCAAACCCTGTCCTGGCCCCTCTGGGCTGAACCAAAGGGCATCTCACACATTTCAAATTGAGTAATTTAAACCCATTCTCTGCCAGGGCTCAGCAGTTTTCCTCATGTAAAACTGTGTCCACTTCTGGGCAGAAGGTTAAAATAAACATGATGAAAGGGGTCAGCCTGTTGTTTGTTTCTGCCTGCTGGGAAGGCGAGCCCATGCAGGAGGCTGAGGATGCAGAGGAAGGCACAGAGCTTTGGGCAGGGCCAAGGCTACACAAGCCGCAGCTCCCAGAGCACAGGAGCAGCCACGGCCCCCATGCCCAGTGACAGAGCACAAGGGGGTGATTCACCAGCCTGTCCCAGGTCCCAGCACTGGCACAGCTCTGGGAACAGCTCCCAGCCAGCCCCGTCCTGGCCAGGGCACATCAGATGATCTCAGCTGGCACAGGGAGCTGTCCTGGGGACACAGGCGGGACAAGGGCAGGGCTCAGGGCTCTGCCCGCTCAGATCCCAGCTGCCCTCCCTGCACAGGGCACTCACCAGCCCCAGAGATCCCACACAAAGCAAGGAACCCTTCATGGGGTGCTCAGCTCATGGAACAGACACAGAGCTGGACAGGACAGCACACATCTGCCTTGCCAGGGCACCACCGCTGAGCAGGCTGCTCCAGCTGACCCCCCCTTGTCCCCTCAATGCCCACCCCAGGCCTGGACACGGGGATGGACACGGGGATGGACACAGGGATGGACATGGGGATGGACACAGGGATGGACACAGCAACGGGCACAGTAATGGGCACAGCAATAGGCACAAGGATGGGCACAGGGATGTACAGAGGGATGGACACGGGGATGGACACAGCAATGGACACAATGATGTACAGGGGATGGACACAGCAATGGGCATAGCAACGGGCACAGCAATGGGCACAGGGATGGGCATGGGGATGGTCACAGCAATGGGCATGGGATGGACACAGTAATGGGCACAGGGATGGGCATAGGGATGGACACAGCAAAGGACACAGCAATGGACACAGCAGTGGACATAGCAATAGGCACGGGGATGGACACAGCAATGGACACAGGGGCCAGGGAAGCACAGCAGGGATTCTGCACTGCTCTGAGTTTCCCAGCTCAGCAGAGCTGCACAGCACCAAGCAAACACCAAACCCCAGCAAACAAGATGCTGCTGTTCTGAGAAGCAGATGGCACCGACTCCACTGAAGGAGTTACAAAAGAATGCCGGGGAAAAACTTCGGGGAAAGAGGGAACTGACAAAGCACTGCTTACAAAACTGACCTCACTTGTTGTTGTGCTGCTCGCAGCCAGCAGCACAGCCACCCTGCATGGCACATGAGAGCAGGAGGACAAACGCGTGACCTCACTCCTCCCAGCAAGCAGCTACAGTGACGAGCACGGCCCCAGAGACAAAATCCTGGGGCCCAGGACTTCCAGGAACTTGTGTCCCCAGCTGGACAGCAATTAAATGGCATCTGCTACTCGAAGAACACCACTGTGCTCTGCCACTGTGCTCACTGTAATTTTGGGCACCCTGTGACATACCCAGAGGACGAAAGCTGAGACAGAAGCAGTGCCAGCTCCAGCAGGGCATGTTTTCAATCACAAACTGGGGAAACAGTTATACAATACTGCAAAATCACAGGTTTAAACCCTTTCCAAGTACTAAATAATGGCCTAAAGCCTAAGATTTATTCAGCTGCCAAACTTTTCAACAGCTTGAATCAAGTTTCATGTGTATGTGTATAAAAACACGTATAACATATATAAAATTGCCAGCTACTATGGACATACCTCCATAAAAATATATAAATTATAGGAGTACAGACGTAAAAGTGGAATATTCAATAAATATTAAATTTTTAGGAGAAGACTGAGCAAATGACTAATATGCCAGTTTAAAACATAAGAAGAGAATTTAATCCTCTTTCCTACCACAGACTCTGAGCTAGTGGATGTTGCTGCTCCATGTAAGTAGCAGCAAATACACAGGAACACACTGGGCAGGGCTGGCACAAGGATAAATGCACCAAGGACTGATGCTGCTCAGATGCTTGAGCAGATACATGAGGCTAAAGAAAGCCTAATTAATCCCATAAAGAAATCAATCAATAGCTGCAGTTATGTCCAACTGAACCACCAAGCCTTCTTGGAGTTTCCCTTGGTGAAGCTGAAGACATTGAACTCTACTGAACAAGGGGGTGAGTCCTGAAAGCTCAGGAACAGAACAAATGGTTTCTAAACCCCCTGTAAAAGCCCAAGGGAACTGAGCAGGAGCAGCTGCCCTCCCTGCAGGCCTGGCAGTGTCCCCTGCCCAGGGGCAGCCCCAGCCCAGCACCACTGCCCAGCCCTCAGCTCAGCTCCCCAGTGAACACAAACCCAAACCCCAGGGATTTATTTTTGTCTGCCTGCCCACAAGGCCTCCCTGAAGGGCTCTCACGTCTCCCTTGGTGCTTGTCAGGTTCTACCCCGAGGTGGCTCTGTTTTATTGAGGGATGGGACATAAAAAGTTACGACCAGAGAGTTTTATGGAGAACCTGTAGCTCACTGGAAGGAGCTGCAGCGCTCTCAGGCAGCTCAGTGTTTTATTGAAAACAAATGTCACTCTGATCTACGATTCACCAAACTGTAGCTGGAAGGAATTTGGGAATCACTGTTTGCTGTAACAACATTACCCTTTCGTTTCTGGGGGTTTTCAAGAGTTCCAACACCTAGCAGTGAAGCTCTGTGGTTTTGACCCACTGATAAAACAGCAGGAGACCTCTGACTTACAGTAAATTAGCTGTTATTGCACTTAGTGACAACATCAATTATTTCAATTCCACCATATAGAGACTATTCTACTCCAGGGACACATTCTTAGCACTTTAATAAACACAAGGACACAGATGGGCCCTCACCTGCCATCTCCTCCTCAGCTTTTTTTAAAAAAAAATATTATTATGAGGCAATGATTACAGTTTATAAAAGCCTGTATAAATATTTACAATAAAAAAGCAAGGGAATAAATAAACATGAACTATAAATCGCTGATACTACAGAAAATGTAACAATTATGATATTTTTTTAAAACACAGAAAATATTTGGGAGATCGGATTTTGAAGTGAAATATGACCAAAAATATTAAACTGTGCCAAAGCCGGCTAAAAGTACTGATTCCATATCAAAACCAGAAAAGAGACACACGAATAAGATCCAACCACCTCAACAATCTCAAATTCCCTCTTCCCCTCTTCCACAGCACAGAATTACTGCACAACACAAGCCTGGAAAAATACAAGGAAAACGATGTGTGGTGCAAGAAAATATCTGTTCAAACATTCCACCAAATTCAGCTTGGCTTGAACGTTGACAACAAAGTTCAACAAGAAAATGTAAATCAGGAAGGTTGTTCCATCTTTAACCTTGTCTTTTCAGCCCTAATCCCATCAGACCAGACAGAAATGTTTCACTCTGGCAAACTCCGAGGGCCATGTTGCCACTGTGATACACTAAACAGACAGAGCATTATGCAATTTGCCAAACTTTGCTCTCCATCCCAGGCATATTTTTAGCTGTGACTGTGTTGGCTCTGATAAAATGAATGATTCTAGTGAATGGTGCAGGAACAGTCACAATATGGAATGTTAAAGCACAAACACCTCCCACAAAAACTTCTGGATATAAATACACTTAATATCTCAATTACCTTCCGTTTGACTTAGTGGGAAACGCTAAGCAAGCTGCTGGAGAAATCCAGGGGGGAAGGAGAGGTGCTGGGGGTGTCTGTGAGCCCTGAGCAGCCCCCACCCACCCCAGGCCCAGCCCAGCTCTGGCAGCTCCACTCACTCATTAATGATCAGGTCTGGAGCAAAGCACAGCAGGTTGCCATTGGACTGCTTGTAGGATCTCCAGCCTAAAGCAAAAGCCATCAGGAACATCCAGGAGTACTGCAGAAGGGTCATTTGGTCATCCAGGTGCAAATTTCGGAAACCTGGGGAAATACGAATGGAGGGGGGATCAGGGTGACAGTTACAAAAAAAGCAACAAAGGACAAAAAAGTTACATGGCTTGGAAAAGGAGCAGGGTTATGAGCAGCACAACTGCTGTGCTATCAGTGCACAGGTACCACAGGGAGTAAAAGAGATGTAATATTAAAAAAATCGCAGTAGATGTGTGTGTGGTTATCTGGAGCTGATGGTCAGGCAGATACATCACAAAGGCAACAATAATAGTTCACATACACTGTAATTCACTGGGCTGCCTTCCAAAAATAACAGGGTTAGCTCCTTTTCACAAGAGCAGCCTGCTAGACAATAAATGATTTAATATCAAGTGTTGTTCTTATTCAACAACAATTGCACACTGAACCTACAAAATAAGCACTGCACTGGTTACCAGCATGAACTGCTTCTAATCTCACATGTAGCATGAACAGAGCCAACTGAACAGGGAGGAAATGAGTAAAACCTGGCAACTGGTTCCTCAAAGAGTCTGAAAATGCCACCAGCTTTGGATCTGCAGCACCAGCTCATATCAGATCCAGCCTACACTTACCAAGAAACCATCGTGCCATACGGAGCCATTATTAGAACCTGAATACAAGTTGATTTTATCTATTTTTATTAAGCATCTGACATCTAAAGAGCTCATAACATCTGAAGAGCTGCTTCCTGAAGCTGTTCCAACAGACAGAGCCAGTGGATGAACGTGTTACTAACTTGGTGGGTCTGAACACAGCCCCTGGCTTTGGAGCCACCAGCAATGACCAGCTTCTGCCTCCACATTACAAAAAAAAGGGTTTCAAAGTGATTCCAGCCTTTCTGGGTCAAACCTTGAAATGTGTGCTCAAACCCTCCCCAGGAAAAGGTTATTTTGAAATCCCAGCTAAAGGGTTTGGCAAGGAATGCTGGCGTACTGTCAGCATGGCTGATGGGCTACAACAGGAGCAGGATATACAAATTAAACACTCATGAGGAACCACCTCAGCAAACAAAAGAAAGGAGATAAAAATGATAAGAATAGTTGCTATTAATGTAGCTATTAAAGAGAAGATTGGCATTTTCATTGAGAGCATAAGCTCTAACCTGAAGGGTTTGGCTAATTACAAACATCTCTGCTCAGCAGAGATGATGAACAGAGAAGTGTTTTATAAAATGGAATCTAAATCTGGATCTGGGAATACCAGATGGTCTCCCAACAACCTGTCCCAGAAGGAAGTGTGTGCATGTGAGCCTCTCCTGGAGCAGACTGAGCTAATTCTGCACAAGTGCCCAGTGCAAACAGCCCTGACACAGAATGCCAGAATCACTGAGGTTGGAAAAGTGCCCCAAGATCACCGAGTCCAACCTGCCCCACCTTGCCCACCAGACCCCACACGATTCTCCAGTCACAACTCTGCTGGACATGGATGTATTTGAGTTTTCCAGCCTTTCTTTCTCACTGTTAATTTATTTCCCCTGCTCAAAGAGACACAGTTATGACTCATAAATCTCATTATCAGGCTTTTTTCTTTTTTTTTGGCAGACCTGTTCTGTGATGTTATTTTTGGGCAACCTATGCGTCATGGAGGTGTTTTTGCCAGGGATTTTGAGAACAGGTAGTGAAGAGCACTGACAGGGGCGAGAGGGAGATAAACACTGGGCTTTGTTCTGTAGGAACAAACATCTTCAGCTCCTCTTGGCCCTGGCCTCTCCAAGACAGATACCACGGGTCACGTCCAAGGCTGAGATCTGACATTCCTTCTTCTGTGTCTCACTGCATCTTTAGGTGGGAGCCAGAACAGCAGCAAACCTCCCTCCTAGCCCAGGTAAGAGTCAGTTTGAGCAGAGCTGGAGAGAAAGTAACTCCTTGGCTTCTACCCTGGAGCTGGACAGTGAGGGGGAGTCAGGAGAGACCCACCCATGAACGCAGACCCAGTGAGCCAGCACAGTGATGTTGGGCTGCAGAAGTCAAGAGAACCTCATTGCTAAAAGCATTCAAAAAATAATTTAGTGCCCAGAGCAGCTGTGGCTGCCCCTGGGTCCCTGGCAGTGCCCAGGGCCAGGCTGGACAGGGCTGGGAGCAGGGGAAGGCTGGGATAGGGGAAGGTGTTCCTGCACTGGGTGGGCTTTTAGGTCCTTCCAACCCAAACCATTCTGGCATTCTGTGAATCTGAGGTGGAGACAGAGCTAATACAAACAGTTCTCTGTAATACTTTTACAACAAATACCCGTTTAAGTAAGAATTTCAATATTCAATGGTCAGAGTGAATAAATTAACCTAGTTTGTGGCAAATAAATGACTGCATCTCTAATTTTTTCCACTTTTCTGCTGCGGAAGCACCTGAGCCGTGAAGAAGCCCCAGTACCACCAACAGTTCCCGTGCACAGCTTTGAGGGCAGATTTAGGCTCAGCAGGAAGCCTGCAGGCAGCACCCCCCGTGCCTGTGCCTCACCTGGGATTGCCTTTGCCCACTTGACCGCAGCGACCACCTGGCGGCCGCCCAGCATGTTGAGGGTGGAGAGGATCCTCCAGCTGGAGTCGGGCAGGGAGCTGTCGTAGCCTGAGTAGAGCACCTCGGGCTCGATGACCTCGAGCAGGGACACCAGGGTGGGCGTCAGCTGCGGCAGCGAGGCGGGCACGATGCTCTTGCTGCCGGCCGCCTCCGGGGCCTCGCGCGCGCCCGCCGCGCCGCCCTGCTGCAGCCCCTTGATCTTCTTCTTGGTCTTGCGGGCTGCAAAGGGTGGGGAAGGCGCAGGTGAGGGCTGGAAGTGGCCACCCTGAGATAAACACAGCAGAGGAAACGCTGCTCTCCCGCCCCCACAGCTGGCAGCAGGGCAGCGGAACCTGCGCGGCGGCAGCGCTTTGCAAAGCCAGGAATTTCACACGCGTTCCAAGCAAACTTCCAGAGAAAATAATACCTCACATTTTAATAAAAGTCACATTTATGCTAATGCTTCAAAATGCCCAGTTATGTCTGCAGGTACCTTACGAGGCTGACCCTAAAATGCAAGGGTGACCCTAAAATACAAGGCTCAATTCCATCACTGGAAATATCTGCAGGACTGCACACTTTAAAGGTTCCTTTAAATAGCAAACATAGAAACTAGGCAAAAGAAAGGAAAAAAAAAATATTTAATGGGTAAGAAGTTACTGGATCTCTCGAGCCAGGGAAAACGTTTTTTTTCTAAAATGCTGGGCAGGAGGAGCTTTTTCTCTTGCCAGCTCTCTTGCATATAAATCACTGCTGCGTAATTAAACCATAAAACTCATTCGCCAAATAAATAAAACATCACACAGAGATGTTAACTGTAAACTACAAAAAGTTGGAGCAACAATTTTATTAGCATCTTGTCCCTAATGGAGTCTCCTGCTTGGCTCTGGCTCTCCTGGATGCAGGCGGCCACACGGAAGGAGCTCCCTCTTTAACAGGGACCAAAGGAGCCCAGCTCCCTCCCTGGGTGCCTCAGTTCATCAACTGATTTCTGCTCTGGAGCTCCTGACATAAATCTGTAGCCCATAAAAGCATCACGTAGCGTGGTCGTGCATTCCAGGTCCCTCCTGAGCTGTTCAGGATCCCTGAGCACCCAAAAGGCACCGAGGCTGCAGTGGCAGCACCCAGATCCCCCTCCTGGGCCCTGGCTGCAGCAGAGCCTCCAGAACCAACTGCCAAAGACAAGGAATCCCCTACAGACCTTGTACAAACTGCATTTTCCCAAAGTTCTGTAGACTGGCCACATGTGCCAAGCCTGCCATGAGGGAATAGCAAGAGTTGTTTCCTTGGAGCAAAGAGCTTCTTGTTATTCTCGTCCCAATTTTGAAATGGCTGCTTCAAAATCCTTTTCTATTCTGGCTTTTTTTGCCCCATTATCCGTGTTCTGAAGAGCAAATGAACTGCTTTGACTTAAATTTAGAAGCACATGCCTTCAGCTTCCTGCAGACACCTGGATGGAGCATTTCCAGCCCAGAAAGCCTGATAAAATTATAATCAAAATAAACAGATCTGATAAGACAAATTATTATGCAAGAATTTTTATCAGGCTGTTACCAGTCCTGACTTAGATATATAGTTGTACCTCACAAAAAAAAAAAAAAAAAAAGAAGGTTGAGATAATGTATTTCTCTGCAATTAATTTTCAATAATAAAAACACCATTAATTTAAAGCCAGCTCCTTAGGGCACCTTACAGGAGATAACCCCCGCAGATAAACTCAGCATGGAGAGAAAAGCATCCAAGATTTTCTGTTCAAAACAAACAAACCCCCCCCAAGCCCCAGCCTCCTGCAGTCTGGCATCCACCAGGCTGCAGAGGCTTCCTCCTCCTCCCTGCCTGGGGGCAGATGGCCCCAGCACCTGAGCCAGGTGGGACAGGGACCTGCCACCACCCCCACGGCCAGCAGGCACTGCCCCCCTCCACTGGCAGCCAGAGCCAGCCCGCTGCGGGCAGAGCAGGGCAAAGAACTGGAAAAAAGTAAAAATTCCTCAAAAAATTGAAATAAATTCCGAGCAAAGACTGCAGAAAAAACTAATTAATTGCCAAGTTTAACTGTAAAATGCGGCATGAAAAGCCAAAAAAATTATGAGGCCGTTTTTTTTACAGGCATAAAACTTAACAATAAATCTTTTCTTCCAGCACATCACAAGGAGAGAGGGTGCCAAGGAACACCAATTAACGGTGGGAGCGGAAATGAGAACTCAAGGAAATAAAGGCTGCAGTACAAAATATCATCTTTGTGCTGTGTAAATCTCTGGTACCTGCAGCTTGACAGTTTGATGTTTTTCCAGTCCCCCAGGCCCCAAAAACCATGCAATAGAAAAAAAGAAAGTTCCAGAAAAGGATGATATGCTGGGCCAAAAGGACGACTGATGGACCTGAGGTCTTTTCCAACCGTAATGATTTTATGGTAAAAAACACAAATAGAAAATTATCAAGTGACTAGAAAGAGCCACTTTTAACTCAGGACAAGAATGCATGATGGAATTAATTAATTAATTAATTAATTAATTAAAAAATAAGTTCATTTTCTACCCAATACCTAACAGTGAGATCCACTGTAGGCACCAGAAACTGGGAGAAACCCAAAACAGGCCAGGCTCCTGGAAAAAGCCCAGCAGGAAGTCAGGAGGGTGCAAGGGGCCCAAGGACTGATGGGCTGGACACTGGGGTCTCTTCTCAACATTCCCTGGTTTGCTACAGCCACTGTTTATGCACTGGGGATGCAGCTGGGGGTTTTTCAAAAAGAAATTACTGCCTAAAAAACATGCAAATTTAATTCTCTTTTGAACAACAGTCGTTCCTAAACTGTGACCCTAAAATAGACAAGATAAACTAGATTTTAGTCTGTTCTGCACTTTATGCTGCCTCCCAGTTTGCTTTTCTGCATGACCACTTCTCCATCTGTTCAGATCTGTCCCAAAAATCCTTGTTTTCAGGGTGTTTTTCACCCTTTCACACTACTCTGGGTTCTTCCATTTTGTGCTCCTGAGTTTCTAGATTCCTTTTTCCTCTCAGCCACAAAAGCTTCCCTCTCCCCAGCCAGGAGAAGCCCAGGAGAAGTGGTGCTGTGTCCTGCTGAGGGAGGCTGGGAGCACAGGAGGGAGGCTGTGCCACCACAGGCACCAGTCTGTGCTTCATTGATCTCTTTAACTTATCACTTCCACCTCACCAAGGATGTTAGCTCTGACTGAAATGAAATTCTGTTCATCCTTGGAGCTGACAAATACATCTTTGACATTTTTATTTTATCTGACAATTCTGATCACACACGTACCACCAGCATAACTGCTCTAGTAAGTGCTGCGTTAATCTCTGCTGCTCAGGGAAAAATAGCAAACATAAAATGAAGCTGACACTAATAAAAGTGCTTTATGCAATTTTACAAGTGCCGCTAAATCTCTGGTTGATGTGGCCTTCAGATTCTCAGGAGTTATTCAGGACTCAGCAGAGGACAATGATGTGGTGGTATGTTAAATTTAACCAACGCTTTCTAGAGAGATTTTGTCAGACATTTAAGAAGTATCCACAGGATGAACAGAAGTATTTCAATTTTCCTCAGCCAGAAGATGCAATCCCCATTCCCATCCCTGTCCACGGTCTCAGAGCCAGGTCACTCAGACAGCACACCCTCCCACAGGTGTTAGCCCTCCCTCCAGGTGTTCTCCAAGAGTTCTGCTGTCCCACATTCCATGAAAAAGCCACGAGACCGACGTGCTGAGAGGGATGAAGAACAACCCCTGTTTGTGTGCGTGCCTCACTTGTGCTGGACACCCAGGGCCAGCAAGTGAGCACAGACAGGAGAAGGTTCAGCACAAGCCCTGCTGTGTCTCCTTACAATGCCCACAGAATGCAGCAGCAGAGAATGCCCCAGCAGTTCCCCAGAGTTTCCCCAGCAGTTCCCCAGAGTTTCCCCAGCAGTTCCCCAGCAGTTCCCAGAGTTTCCCCAGCAATTCCCAGCAATTCCCAGCAATTCCCAGCAGTTCCCAGCAGTTCCCCTGGGCAGCCCAGCAGGCAGGGCTGTTACCTTCCAGGTTCATGCCCGCCTGCAGACACTTGCGGTAGCGGCACGCGGGGCAGTTCTTCCTGCGGATCTTGTCGATGATGCAGTCGTTCCTGCCGGCACACAGGTAGTTGTGCTGCCCTGGCACAGACACAGACAGACACACATCAGCTCCCCACGCACAGACCCGCTCAGCCCAGCCCCAGTGACAGCAGGGAGCACAGCAAACCTTCCCTTGCTGCGCTGCCTGCCTTGCAAGAACATCGGTACCCACCTGACTTCACATATCCAAAGCCATTTCTCATGTTTAGACCTCCAAGCCCATACATTTAGGTAAAAACATTATTGTTTATTTGTTAAGACCGGGCAACTTCTATTTTTAAAACTATTTCCCCTTGCATTTACCAAAGCCTCATTCTACAGCAGGTTTCCCATTTCTCTAAACAGTTTGACAAGAGACATAAATAATGTGCACAAACACACTCTGAGAAAACACTTGTAAACGTTTCTACAGAGCACAGACACAGCTTCATCAGCTGGACTGCCATGAAACCTTCCTGGAACTTACAGCCTGACCTGGACAAACCAAACTCTCTGACAGTTTTATGGATTCACAGATTCAGAGCAAAACTGGCCCTGAAAACACAACAAGTTGAAGTACATGCATTAAAATAACTGTATTGCTTAGCTGCCTAGAGAAGGGCAACAGAAGTATCTATTCTTAATTATATGACTTATGTGAGTGAATGAATGTCTGAATGTAACTTATTTAGGGAAAGGTATTACCAAAGAATAGATCCTTCTCCCAGACAGGGGTCAAGGAGCATGTTTTTCCAGAGGGCAGAAAGCTGCAGCCTGGGCTTTTACTCTGTATTGCAAAGTACTGACAGTACAATATTGTGAGAAACAAACAGATTTTCCAAATACTGAATTATTAACAACAGAGTCCAAGAGTTTTCTCACAGGAAAACAGCTTGGAGAAGGAATTTCTTACAAGTCAGCTGTGAAAATTATGGGCAGGCAGAGTTCATTCCTATGGCTTTGGCCAAACTTCTCCTGTGAAGCGTCTCAAGCTGATATTCCAAGGAATGTTTTTCTGAATGACTGCCCCACCTCTTCCACTCAGGGAAGAGGAGCCTTCCTGACCCTTGTGCCAGCTTTGTGTTTGATTAATTCAGACAACAGATCCTCCACTCACCATTCTGGTTGCCATTAGCATCCTAACACACAGAAACACACACAGAACATGAACTGATGCCCATGTGCCAGCACTGCAGTGCAGCAGAGACAACAACAGCTCCCTGTCCCTCCTGTCTGATGAGACCACAGTTTCCCACATTAACACAGGCACTCAGGTGAGGCTGCTCCTGAGCTGCTCCATTCTATTCCTAACAAAGAGCTTCCTCTCCACAAATGCTTGGTTTCTTGTATTTACTGCTCACCTATTCTTGCCTTTACTAGGACCAAGCTACACCATTTCTTTGTATTATGCTACACCAAAGTCTCTTGTCCCATCACCATTTTGGGGGAGAATGAGGGGAAGTTGGTGCTCCACGTCCTCCTGCTGCCCAGGGCTGTGCCAGCAGCCAAAGGAATGTGCTCCAGTTCTCTCTGCTGCTCAAGCCCAGGCACTCCACAAATACTCTGCTAAAAACCAGGAGTGAGCCAAGGCAGGAGTTTCCAGGGAGATCTGGGGCACACAGGGGCATTTTTCAGAGGCTGGCCAATGCCATCCCCATCCCCAATCCCAATCCCAATCCCAATCCCATCCCCATCCCCATCCCCATCCCGCCCACAGCCCCGCTGGCACCGGGGCTCTGACGCACTGTGGCCCCAACAGCTCTGTGCCCATTTGAGCACAGCAGCCTAAAAAAGGTTGGGAATTGCAGAGAAAAGAGTCTGGAAGATGGAATGGGAAGTGCTGCCGAAGAAGGCTGATCTGGAGCAAAGCAGGAGGGAGGTGCTGGGGAGCCTGCAGGGAGGGAGTGTGAGGAGCTGGGGGATCCAGGTTGGTGCATTGGCTGAAGGGCTGGGAGCTGAGCAGGGCTGGGGCTGGAGAAACTCAGTCACAAGGGCTCTGGGCTCTGAAACACCACGAAATCAGAAGAGAAAAAGCTATCTCTGGCCAGCCTGGGCTCCTGGAGAAAGACCTGGCTGCCTGAAGAGCTGCACATAAATCGACAGCTGCTGTCCCACCTTCACCCTTCCTGTTCTCCTCTAGTTCTACTCTTTGCTGAAAAAATGCACTCTATACTGACTTCTAGACACTGACACTTCCAGTTTCTGTGACTATTTCTGTCACAGTACACAGGCCTGGAGGCAAAGGTGGAAAAAAGGGCTTTGGCTAAAGGCCGGAGAATGAGTGTGCAGAGTCAGCTTGATCTGAGCACTAACAGGTGCCTGGCAGCCACTAATAAAAAGGATATTGCAGAAACAAATTCTTTTTACATGTGTTCCTAATAAGAAAAATGCCTATAAAAGACAAAACCGAATTATTTGTTCCTTAAAGTGAGGACTAGGACTAACGGATCCTGGAAGCAGTCCTGCACATCCCTGTCATGGAATGGAAGGGTTTAGGGTGCTCAGTCCTTGGTGCTGTGGCCCAGCTGACACGGTGGTGATCCATCAAAGGCTCCACTTGATGAACCTGGAGGTCTTTTCCAACCTTAATGGTTCTGGGATTCTGTGAGAAGTGGGATAATTTGTGGCACAGTCAAAATGGAAGCAGAGGTGAGACTCCAGGAACTATTGCCACAAGCCTGCTTACACTTTTAATACCAAGACAGTTGATTTATGGTGTGTCAAACCCAAAAGGAATCACTGGGGCGATTCCTTCCTGTATCAATACTTTTGTGATTTATTTAAGCTTGAGAACAGGCAAACCCATGGCTGTGGCACCTGTCCAGCTGCCTTACAAACTGTCTTCTGAGGGATCTCTGGTGACCATGTTTTAATCAAAGGTACAGATGATTATCTGCTTTGCACTTGAGCTCGTACTGCCCTGTTATACCTCAGCTGCCACAGAGCCAGCAGCCCTTTGTGACCAGCAGAAACCACCACATGAACTTGACTTTGCTGATCCCTCCGAGGGGCTCTGCCCTTCCATGGAGCTCCCCATGGTGAGCCAGAACTGGGGGAAGTGCTGCTCCTGAGGACTGAATGGTGCCTTGTCTTTGTCAAAGAGCCTTCCCTCTCCTCCAGTGACCCCAGCTTGCACAAATGTCAGCAGAAAGAGCCTGGTTCAGAGAGGGCTGCATGAGGGAGGCACAAGACAGGAAACCCTGAGGGCCACAACTAGGAATGATGCTCTTCAGACCTGAGGAATCACCTCAGAAACACTGGGAATGTGCTCCAGTTTTTCTGCATGTGATACTGAAGCACAGTCAGACCTTGAGGTACAACCTGGTCCCTCACAAAATGGCTGTTGACGCACCCAAAATCCACACAGCCCTCATTCACATTAGTTTTCCATCATCTCTGTTTTCCAGAATGGTTTTCTCTAATCACAACTGGACAGAAATCTCAGTGATCCAATGCCACACACGCCCCTGGTACCCAGTGTCCCTGCAAATAACACCCAGGGACATGGATGCAATTCAACCAACATTGTTTACAGGAAAACTACAATACCCTCACACACAAACAATTCACCAAGTTCCATGTAAGTTTTCTACACAAACCAACTAACCATAAATTGAAAAATCACAAACTTTACAAATCCATTGCACACAGACAAAATATCTGTATAAAAACAGGATAAATAAACAAAAACAACAGTGAAAGAAAATGAAAGAGACAAAAGCCAAAACAACAATAAATTCTTTTACACTGAGTGAATGGGAGCATTTTATCAACGTGAATGGAATCCACGCTTTGGATAATGCACCATTATCAATGTGATTTACCATGACAAGATCAGTGATCTAATGGGTGGGCTGTTCAGTAGGATTCTCGCAAAACCATGGATGCTGGGTTTGAAAATGGATGGTGTGCGTGGGGATCTCATATTTATCAGGAGGCCCTACCTTCCACTGCCCTTTTGAAGAAGACTTTGCAGCTGCCACACGTCAGGACACCGTAGTGGCACCCCGAGGCCTCGTCGGAGCACACCAGGCAGAGCTTGGGAGGTGGTCCCGTAGTTGCTGAGGTTGTGGATGGAGAAGAGCTTACATCTGACCTCATTCCAGGGCTGAAACAAAGCAGAGAAATACCTTTAATTGGGATAGAGGCGAGCACAGGGCTGGCACCTGCCAGGAACAGCTTGGTGGGGCAGTTCTGCACACAGAGAGCACCAGAAACAGTTAAACAAGGACTTCTGTAAAACCCCAGAAAAGCTGTATGGATTTTTCACGGCCTATTTGGCTGCATCAAGATTCCTTCCCTTACACGTTTCTGAAGCCAAGTTTCTTGCACAATTATCCCAGCCTTTAAAATTGACTCTTTAAACACGCTCTTACTCCATATTGTTTCCATTACTGCCACATTCCCTGCAGTCTGCACAAGGGCTCCCTTCCCAGCAGCACCACCGGCGGCTCCACTGGGATGCTGTTATGCAAGAAGCCGTGCAAATTGGGCCATATAGCAACAAATATTCACAGTAACGAGTGATGGTTTCACCCCAGCAGTTCAGGAGAAGAGTGAAATATCCTTCATTTCAGGACCTGGATGTAAACACCCAGCCCAGCTACAAATGAAGGATCGGTTTGTTAAGGAAAAAACCCAAATCCCTCTTGGAACAACAAACAATCCATCCTAATCACCTTGGAGCTGCTCCTAATCCTCAGGGCTGACCCAGCAGTGCTGGGCCAGGGCTCAGGGGCTGCTTTTACAGTGGCTTATCTCCTCTGGCCTGAAGAGAGCTGCATGCACTCTTACAGACCAACCCTGATCCTACAGACCAGCCAGGCACTGCCCCACAGCCCTGCAAAGGCCCACAGGTTGAGTTCATCCTCCTCCACGTGAGGAAGAGCTCCCTTCCAAGGAGGGTGGCAGAAACTGGAACAGCTGCCCAGGAGCTCAGGGAGTGTCCCTCTCTGGACACATCCCAAAGCCACCTGGACACGCGCCTGTGTCCCCTGCTCCAGGTGACCCTGCCTGGGCAGGAGGTTGGACTGGATGATCTCCAGAGGTCCCTTCCAACCCCAGCTATTCTGTGATTCCCAGCTACGTTTGAGACGCCTAAAACATGATTTCTATATTGCCTGCTTCACTTGAAACTGATTTTCACAGAAAATCCTGTTCACCAGGGTTCCAGCCACTCTCCAGATGAAGCTAGAAAAATGACACTTTTATTTAAGGTTTTGGTGCCTCGCCTTGGAAACTCTCCAGACCATCCACGTTCCCTGATGTGGGTTTAGCATTTGTATGTGGGATGGCTTTTGCATGGAAAATTCCTTTTCCCCTCCTCAAGGAAGTCTGACCAGATTTGGTCACACATTTAAAAAAAACCACAGCTCCAACACGCTCACGCAAACCTTAAAATTCCATCCCAAATTAAGACATTCCAACACCTGAGAGCTCTGCTTTTGCACAGGTCCATATGTCCCATCCCCAGGGAGCACCTGAGAAATGGTCCATCCAGTGTCCAAAGGACTTTGCCATTGTGCTTGTCCTTTCCTACAGGGACTGAGGCAAGCAAAAGACAAGGAGCAGGATCCTCCCACTCAAACACAGAGGGATCAAAGTCAAACCACAATAAATGTGTCAATGAAGTTCTCACTTTGACAAAAATGGAACCAGAAGGCAGAGAGAAGTGAAAATTACTTGCATTAGGGGGAAAAAATGAGACAGCACTGGCAGGCAAAGACCTAAGGGATGTGCAAACCCCCTAAAAGCAGAGTCTGAGGTGGGGAGAAGCTGAGCTGTGTCTCAGAGCAGAGAGGCTGAGCAGAAGAGAAAACACCAGACAGGAACACAGCAACAGCTTCAACGTGCTGCAAGAGAAGTGGGAAGAGGAGAGCAGAGTAAGACCAGAACGAGAGCGGTGCAGAGCCCTCAGCAGGAAAGGCTGGCAGCAGGAATGGAGGAGAATGAGTCAAACTTGAGGAAAAAGGGAAGAAAAAGGCCCCTCTTTTCCCAAAGGGAAGCACGCTTCTTTCCAGAACTTGGAAAAGAACTCGAATCTGTCACATCGCTGCTCTGCGCTCAGAAGCATCTCTGGAATGCTCAACACTTCTCCTCCGTGGCTCTGCCACGAGGCTGCCAGCCCCCACAACGTGTCTGTCAGCTGGAGAGGGCTCACTGAGGGACTGCACCCCTGCTCATCACCCATGGCATGGCTTTCCTGGCTCTTCCAGTTAATTACCCTTCTTTGAAAGAGCTCTGATAAACCCCTCTGGTTGCACCCTGCAGCACTGCAGCCGTGGCAGAATGAAACCCCAGCCAGTCCCACCAAGTCCATGTGCCTAGGAACACACATCTTTAGTGACAGGCCCAGCAGGCCTGCCCTCCTCAGGGGCACAGAGCTCCAGGAGCAGCCCTGGAGGGATGGAGGGGCACTGCCCCGTCCCTCTGAGCACAGAGCTGCAGCTCGGGGCCTCCTGGCAAGGCAGCTCAGGAGGATCCTGAGGAGGATCCACCTCTGCTCCTGCTCTGCTGCCTCTGCCCAGCTCTGCTGCTCCATGGGGATCTCAGACGGAGCCCAGAGACCAGAGGAGAACCTCAGGCTTGAGAGCCACCCTTGGTTCTTTGCTCTTTCACAGCTTTCCTGTCTGATCATCAGACAAGTAATTTTGACCTCAAAGCTTTGCTTCCTTTCATGTGATGCACGTATTACTTTCTTCTTTCATTTTTTTTTCTTCTCTCCCCAGCTCACTGACACGTTTGGAAGAAGAAATTGTTTCTCTACTTTTAGACCACCATATACAAAAAAAAACCCTAATAAAAACCCCAACACTTACCTCGAAACCAAGCAATACCCCTTCTACAAGGAGCAGTCACTATCTGGCTACTCTAAGATGCCTTATTTTCTCTAAAACTTTAGGCCCAATAGCTCCTTTTCCAATAATAAATATTTCAGATTAAACACTGAAGTACGGGCTAGAAGCTATGAGTTTAAATAAGAAATATAGCACTTGAGAACTTCGCTTCATTAAAATTATTAAAAAGATGGAAACATCTTTCTATGTATAGTTTTGAAGACAGCTAATTTAGATACAAAAATAAAACTCTTTATACCTCTCGAATTTCTGACAAAAGCATTTTTAAGGAAACATTCATTAGCTGTCAGGGAAACCATGACAGTGCCAAACATATTCCACTGAAACTTTTCAGTCACCTTTAATTTTTAAACGGGGCTCATTTTCTGTACCAGCACCACAGAAAATGTAATACGAGAAAGAAAACAGATGATATGACATCTAAAACTAAAAATAAATGATTACATTGATTAATACAGCAGTAGCCAGCAATCCAATCCGGGCTGCAGGCATATCTCCCCAGCCTGGCTGTATCAGATAAGCGCAATATTCACTGACAGTGGGAGAGCTGCCAGCCAGCCCCGCTGTGGAGCAGCACCAGGAGGGGCTGCAGGGCTCCTGCACGAGCCACACGCAGTGTACATCTTCACTACACAGTTATACACAGCAAAAGGCAAATGACCACTTCCTAAGGAAGAGGTAAGGCAGGGAAATTACACTCTGAGGTAATATAATAATGGAACCCCTTTCAGTATTTACAGAAACTACTTTCAACTCAACAAACCCTAATAAACTATGAGTCTCATCTAGATAAAAGAAAAAATCAAGCAGCATAGATGAGAGAGGAAAAAAATCTCCCAATTTTCAGCCTTCCAAAACTTTGTAAAAACTTTGATTAAATTTCATTTTGGGAGGCAAGGTATTGGTATGGGGTACTAAACTTAGTACATTCCCATGTATTTTTCAGAAGCTATTCATACACAATCTGATTTTATTTATTTGTATAGATGTGTTTATCATCTCCAGTCAACAGAAAGTGTGGGGGTCAAAATGGGAAACCTTAATTAAGGGGGTGAAATGGGCAATTGTGATGAAGGGGGAAAATGGGAAGGCTTAACGAAGATGGCGCCCCGGTAACGAGCTGTGCAGAAATCCAGGTGTTTAATTAAAGCCATTCCAGGGTTAATCATTCACCAGGGACTTCAACCCCGGCTCAAGGGTCACCTGCAGCAGGCGGGCGTGGCAACGGCTGGGGAGGGCTCCTGTCCGGGGGACGGACAGACACAGCCTGGGCAGCGGGACACACGGACAGCGACACACGGACAGGGACACGCGGACAGCGACACACGGACAGCGACACACAGGGACACATGGACAGGGACACACAGGGACACACAGACAGTGACACACAGGGACACACGGACAGGGACACATGGACAGGGACACACGGACAGCAACACACAGGGACACATGGACAGGGACACACAGGGACACACAGACAGTGACACACAGGGACACATGGACAGGGACACACAGGGACACATGGACACACGGACAGGGACACACAGGGACACATGGACAGCGACACACAGGGACACATGGACAGGGACACATGGACAGCGACACACAGGGACACATGGACAGTGACACACGGACAGGGACACACGGACAGCGACACATGGACAGGGACACACAGGGACACACGGACAGGGACACATGGACAGGGACACACGGACAGGGACACATGGACAGCGACACACAGGGACACACGGACAGGGACACACAGGGACACACGGACAGCGACACACAGGGACACACGGACAGGGACACACAGGGACACACAGACACACAGACAGGACACACAAGGGTGGGACGTGTTGATCCTCAAGGTCCCTCCCAACCCAAACCATTGCAGATTCTCTGACCCTATGAAAGACAACTCTAGTGAGACAATGGCAAGTGGAACTTTGAGGAGCCAAAATTACCGACCATTGCCAGCCTACAGCCTGCGCCCCTCTTCACCAGTGTGGGAAAGGGATGGTCAGCCTGGACCACATTCTCTCCAAACAGGAGGTCACTCCTCACACCCCCAGACACCAAAACATGGCCCACCACACATGCTGGCTCTGCAGCTCAACTGAACCAACCACTGGGAATGGATTCTCAAAAGCAAGTTACTCATTGGTGTAAGTGGTATCACCAAACTAAGAGTAAAGAAACCATTTTCAAAGTCATTGCCATCTGGGCCTCCTCCTTATCTTCAAGCAATGAG